GTCCAGGAATCGACGACTAAAAATCAATAATTCTCAGAATAGTGCAACGATTTTTGAAGAAAGTATTGCTTGATTCGTGTAGATATGATGATGATCCCAAAGTGTCTTTCCTCGGCGAATGCTTTGTTGATTTTTCTATGCGCTTCTATGTACAAATATAAGGAAATATTGTTATATTTATTGCTTTTTTGAGATAAAATTTGAAATAATACTGTCTCCTATCGTCATAAAATGTAATTGTTAGAAATCATCATGAAAGTTAAAAAGTACCCGAGAGAAGAGAGAATCTGACTCTCTAAATTTTTGATCTACACTTCCTTCAAAATATTATTTTCCAATATTAAATTCAACATGACTATGAGATGCAGGACTTGGACTCTTCACTTCTGTCATTCCAGTAATCAATCGATCGAATTTCTCATTCATTTCTTTTCTCAGCGTCTCGATTAACTCGATATTTGGCAGGTTTTCTTGGGAGGCTCTGGAAAGTTTTGACATGAAAACGATCTATAAATTTCAAGAGCTTACCTCAATACACCTCTAGGTGGTTTCACAACAGACGCTTCTAGAACAGTCCCGTTGATAGGGAAACTCATTGAAGTATCAGTTTTCCGTAGAGCACTATGTGGTGGTTGAGCGAATACCGGGAGCAGTTTGGGCTGGAAATACAGTATTGAAGTTTTGGGAGGGGTTTTTTAAAAAATTTATCAACAGTTCCAATACACGGAGACAGGAATGGGTTGAGCTTTGGTTTAATTTGAAGGATGGGTCTCACCACGAATGCCCGTATACTGTCAGATTGTTTCTCAAATCGGTACGATTCATGCTTTCGTATTTTTTATCTGACTGGTTGCAGAACTTGTTCATAAGTACTTTAACATTCTAAGAAAATTTGAAAATTCATAGCGTGTACATTTGAAGAAAATGAAACGGTTTTTAGCAGCGTGTGAATGGAAACACAACTCAGGTAATTTACGGGATTTCTTTTCAAAGGGAAACTGGTAAACGGCAACTTGCCAATTGTTACTTGCTAATTGTCTGTGGCAAGTGAAAGGCAATCTAATGTGGCGGAAAGTTCCCGCTTTTTCAAGCAGCTTGCCATTTTTTCTAACTATGAGATCCCAGATTTATTTTTCAGTAATGCATATTAGTTTTTCAATTTTACATTTGAGTGATACATGTTCTTTAATTCTCACCGTAAAATTTGAGGTGAACGTTTCCGACAACGGCCTATCCGGCAACTTCGAGTCAGCTTCGCTTGCTCTTCTCTTCTGTTTCACTCTCACCGGAGGCTCTTCACTGATAATGCCAGGCAATGTTGAATTCACTGGAGGCTGATACAGAATTGAAGATTTCCGGGACCTGAAACTCAATTTCTTAACGAATTCTCCTTCAAATCAATAGCAAGCAAATCAATCTACACTACACAAAAAGCGAAACAAAAAGCGAAAAGAAAGTGTAGAAGTAGAAGGAAAAGTACTTTAGGAAAAACCTCGTCTCATCAGCCTCTTCATCTGTTGAACTCGTCGTTTCACTCTTTTCCTCTTCTGACTCTTCAGCAACTGATGGGCGTGTCTTTGGTAGCCTCATACTTCCACCGTATCTGGGTCTTGAGGTTGTGCTCATTGTTCGCATGATATCTCGTTTCACAGCGTCGATGTGGGAAGAGCTTCGGACGATTTCTCGGCGACGATCGTCTCGGAGTTCGTATCTGGAATAGGTGGAGATTGTTTTGGTATCGGTATTTTTTTTTTTGAAAGTTTATAATATCTGTGTGCTTTTTTTGGTATAATAGACCTAGAGGATTAGCGAGATTTGTAGTTAAGGAGCGGCTCAAAAAGTGAGCATGCTGAAGCGTCTGAGGCGCGGCGAGCAAAATGGAAAAGATGGTTTCTATGGAATTGTTTTAGCCGTTTAGGTTCAGCCATGTAGAGCTTCTTTCAAGACGCTGGCTTTTACCCGATTTTTTTCAGGATTTGGAAGCCAAACGTCAAAATGAGTGACCCAAAAACACAAAAAGGGGTGGGGCTGCATGCACGAGGGGGTAGTTATAGTCCTGAAGTGATCCTTTAGTTTTCCTGATGAAGTTGCTAGAGTTGTCCCTTTGATTGTCGATGTAGAGAAGAGAAGAGAAGTTGTCCTCAGAGACGTTACTGGCTACTCCCTTAGTACTACGTGGCCGGGCCAGGACCATCGTGTACTGTGCGGGTGTTATGACCAGTAGGGCACCCCCGTTATATACCCCCTATGTACACTGCAGCAGACACCTCACGGGTTCCGCCATCCGCCATCTATTGTGTGCAGGTGGGCTGATCCCTGTAGGGTCTGGTAGAAGGTGTGCAACGACGCTCCGATACTGCGCTACTGTCCGGAAACATCACTCACGAAAACCATAACAAAGGGTTTTCTAAAGTAAACCTAATAAATTTACACCCTGATCATATTTTAAATGTTTTTTTCCTAAGAAACCTGAAAACTTTCATTGAACCTGTGCTCACCTCAAACTACTGATATCCTGTTTGATCTCATGCAAGTCATCCTCATTAACTCCATCCATTTTCATATCTTTCTTTGTTTGATGAATGAATCTTGCCACTAGACGTTGTATGATATCCGCGTAGGTGAGGGGAGGCTTCACATCTTCTTCCTGGCATCCAGATTTTTCCATTTCATTCCGCTTTCGGGAGTAGCCGGGGCGCTAAAAATGACAGGTTATCGATTTCCCTGGTTGCAAAATTCTGATCCATCCTCAAAATCAAAGCTTACCCTGATAGTAGCCCGATTCCTATTCTTCTGATATGTATACTTCCCAAGAAGCCATCTAACAGTATTCAGAAGACAATTCACGAAACTAATCAATGATTTCGGAGTGATCACAATATTGAATGGAGGAGGGAGACTTGATCCTTCATCGAAATGTGCCATCCATAATTTAGTTCGATGGAATTTCCATTCCAAATCCGCGTGATCATTGATAATTTGAAAAGAGTGTGACATCATGGCAATGAGCATGTTCAGAAGAACAATAATCGATGTACAATGATACATTATAAACATTCCTTGTCCAACCCATTGAGTGATTTTATGGTTCTCAATGACATCTGTATCTTCTGGCTTGGTGATAGAGAAGAGAGACCAGAGAAGTGTCAAATAGGAATCTGCGATCGAAGAGAATACATTCGAACTCTGTTTACATGAAGATCCAGGTATACAAACAGCTGTATCAGGGTCGTAGTACCAATAGAGTTGAGCAAGGCCGATGGAGAATGAGCTGATGATTAGGACGAAGATGAAACAGAATTTGGCCACGTCGACGAGCATGCAGCCAAGGGAAATCTGCAAAATTCAAGAGATTTGGGGTATAGAAATGATTTTGAAAAGAGGAAACTGGAAAGAACTAGGGTGTTGGTCCTGTGCAAATCCGTTATTGTCAAATTCATTGGTACCTATAGGTTGGAGTTTTAGAGCTCCTAAAATCGATGGAATTAGCCTGGGAAGTAGTGGAAGTTAGAGTAAAAATACTTTGGTAATTGTTTTGCCTTCGGTGAGTTTGACTCCGGGGACATCTGTTGAGCGACCGGGCTGGCACATCGACTAGGTATATTATTTTTCAATTATAGCACTGGATGCAAAAAAAAAATTAAAGGAGGGGGGAACTCAAAAAAACATTTTCTCGGAAAAAAACAAATATAATTACCTCAGGTGGGTTTGAACCCAGGGTCGGACTGACATATCACCAACATCGCTACCGACTGCGCTATGCGGCCGGAAAAGCGCGCTGTCTCTCTTTGTCTACAAGAGACTGCGCCCTTTTTTCCCCTTAAAATTCCCCTACGAATGAGAGTTCCCACCCCCTTTAAGTAAACTCTCATGATCTCATGGTCAAAACCCCTGAGATATACATCCGAGATTGTGTGCCCACAAGGTCCCCAAACTGAAAATTCCTCCCATGAAAGCTCTTTTACCTGTAGCGGTCCCAAGTATGGATTTGTCTGAAACAAGTAAATAATACGAGCGAACGAAAATACATTTCCAACGGCAAACAACGCTTCAGCCACCAACATTGGTTCCTCAGACGTCCAATATGTTCGGACAGTGTATCGATATGGATCCTCGCGATATGTGAAGATGTAGTACGCGCTTAGTCTGAAAAATTATCATTTCAAAATCATCAAACCCAAAACTATGGGCTCTTGGTGAGTTCTAACTGTCTGGAATTTTACTACGATCACCGTCAAATCCAATAAGCTGCAAGGGCCCGCCAAGACTTATGTACCCGGAATCTGTAGCCGAGTCCGGTGAGTTCAGTTTGACATACCTGATTGAAATAGTGCATAAATAGAGACAAATCATCAAAAAATCCAGCCAATTCCACCATTGTCTCATATATCTTTTGAATCCTTCCTCCCATAACTGCTTGATTTCTGACCATAACATTCCAATCACCCATGTGAAGACCAATGATTCAACCCATGTTGCAGGTGGACCACGGTCAGAAGCACGGGTTACTCCGCCCTGGAAATAGGAAGCTTCTTGAAAATAATCGAAGAAAACGCGCTCCATTGTGGCCTCTTCGGAAGGGAATTAACAATAGAGCGCGTTTTTGTATCTGAAACCCTACCCGTTCTCCTTTCTCATATCGATAATCTTCAAATGTTGCCCATGTCAATAGTCCTAGAAACGTTGCAAACGAAATTGAGTAGTAGAAGAATTTCATGAACGGGGAACGAACCAACCGACCCATTCGGCTTGTTGGCATCTGAAAAAAATTTCAGAGTTTTAGATTCCAAAAGATTTTTGAAAACTTACCAGAATATATATGATACAGAATAATGGCCATAGAAGAAGCAAAAATGCATAGAGGAAGAAATTCGCCCATGTTCCTTTTCTCTGTCGGTACGGGATTCCTTCGTACCAAATGGAAGTCAGGAGTTGCTGGCAATGAGGGTGGGAGACGAACTGGAAAAGAGGAGGTTTAGAAAAAAAGAAAAAAAAAGAAATGGAGCTGATGGGAATCGAACCCATGACCTGTTGAATGGGAGTCGCGCGTTTTACCTCGACACCAAGGGTGCAGAAACAGAGAAAGAGAGGGCGGTGTATAAGAAACCATCAGACTCACCGCCTTCTGCTCATACTTTATCGCCAATTTCAGCCGAGACAATGAAAGTTTACTGGCCCACACATCGATATTATCTTCTTTATCATTTCCGTCCTTATTCAAAATGGCAATCACTTCCTCAGAACTCCTGCATTGACTCAGCAAATCACATGAATACTGTTTACATTGTTCTGATAACTGTAGATATGTCTCCTTGAATTCATGCTCTTCGAATGCCAATTTTTGAAGATCCCATGATAATTTGAATGCTTCAGAGATGGGATCATGACTGGTGAGGGAAATGTACGCAGGGCTTGCGAGGGCTCGAAACGTGTTTATTCGTTTCAGGGAGTACTGTAGAGAGTCGTTGAGGCGTTCACGGTCACAGCTCTCGCAGATGCAAGTGTGGCTGGAAATTAATTAGAAAATTCAATCATAGAAGATAATTGGGCACATAATTTTGTCTAGTTCGTCTGAAATTTGGGAAAAAATTGGTCTGAACTTCTGGAAACACTGGGTTTAGCGCACATTTATTTCAAAAAAATCGACACAATCAGTTTACTTGATTTGGTGGTAACTAGACTTAGAATAGATGCTGAAATGGTTTGATGAATTTTCGAACTAGGTGAAAGATCAAATAGTTCGGAAAATCAATAATCACAGCTCTAACTTATCCATACTTCTCATGACCTACCCTAAGAAAAAAAAACTTCCCACAAAAATGTTCTTTTCATGTTGCCCCTAAATAACTCAGAAACATTTTTCGAAAATATCTATTTTTATTACTCCACTCCACATGTTCGTTCATTGTTACCCAAATAAGTTTTGAATGGTGCCACAAGACACGGGCCAGGCCAAGAAAATCCTGATTTTCGTAGCCCCCAAATAGGAATTTACCTATGTGGTGGATCAATAGTGGCATCCTTCCTGATCAACATTTGCAAAATCTCAAACTGATTCAGCTGAGCAGCCAATATAACCGGAGAAATATCACTTGAATACTCCGCACTTGCCGCTTCCGAAGGCTCCAATGACTGACTCCATCCCTCTCCAAGCATCTCTTTTGTGATGTTCGGATGGTTCACAAGCACTTCTACTAATCGGTATACACCTGAAATTTGGAAATTAGGAAAATAACTTGATATCTCCAAAAAATACCTTCCCGAATAGCACATAACAATGCATTTCCAATTCTGATATCTGGTTGTTGGAGGAGTAACTCAACAACTTCCATGTTCTCATTGTCCACAGCAATTTCTAGAGCAGTTCTGCCCATTGAATCAAGACAGTTCACATTCAAGCGGCGTTCTCCGTCGTGCTGAAAAACTGGAAATTTTAGAACGAATCAGGAAAGAAGGGCTTACATAATCAAGACATTCCTGTAGCGTTGGCTTGTTTCCGAGCTCTGCTGCTTCAAGGAATCTGGAAGAAAGTGAGGAGGAATGGGTGGTTTTCATAGGTTCTATGGAATGGACTAGAAGTAGTTGGCCCTATTCTTGGAAAAAATGGAATCGGGAGTGCGGATTTAATGGTCCGTGGCGTTGTTAATGGGGGGTAGGGGGAGTAAAGCAATGGGTAAAGTGAGGTGTTCATGGAAGTAAAAAGTTTAGAATCCTTTTTTCTGGAAATTCGCACTGAAAAGAATTTTTTCCTCAGTTTTTCAAACTCAGTATTTCTAGAATAAAGGAGTCTTCCACGGAATCGTTATAAACAATTCGGATGGACTCCAGGGGCCTCAAAATTCCTTTGCCTACCTTGAAGGTGCAGTGAACTTGTCGCAGCCAGCGGAGACAAGCTTAATTTAAGAATTTTCGTTACAAAACCGTGCAACCTACAATTTTCGAAGAGAAAATCGGAGAAATATTCGAACTTTTTCGAGAATTCATGCTTTAAGGTTGTGTATATTTTAAGAGTTTTTCTCCAAAATTGTGCAATCTACGATTTTTAGAAGGAAAATGTGAAAATTTTTCAGAACTTTTTTTGAGAATATATGCTCTAACTTGGGCCCGGCTAGTCGACCCAAAAGGAAAAATTCTAAATGTTTCAATTTTTTCCGACAAAATGTGTGAAAATTCGGCAAAACAAAATGAAAATCTAACGATATACCCCAAAAACTATTTTTTTTCGAAATCAGTCTTCAAAATTCAGTACTGCAATTTCGAAAAGATCTCCCCCAACCTCACTAGACCTGATAGCAATTTTATTCCAATTTCATCTGAAAACCCGTTCCCAAAACCATTTTAAAAAATCGAACTCACCTCCTCTCCTCCGGACTAATCATATCATTCGTCCGTATATGAACCGCTGCAGGTGGCGGTATATTCGCCAACGCGTAATTTCGATTCCGAGGTCGTGGCGAGGGAGCACAACGAGAGAATCGACGTCCTGCTGCCGACAGCATCCTTCAATTTTCAAACCGAATTATTCCATTTCCTTTCGTTTTCTTCCCCCCAAAAAAACGTTTCTTTTTTTGTTAGAGTAAATCTAGTCTTCTCTCTTCGTCCATCCAAAAACTATTTGAACGAAAAAGAGAGAGATAAAATCGGTTTGGGACGAATGTAGTTAAACATTTGATAGCAATTCTGAGCAATTGCAATAGAAATAAAGTCTTAAGTGTCCCCTCCCTTTGATTCTATGTGTTACACCTCCTACGAAATGCCCCCGCATACGTATAAAGAAATCCTTTTTCTCCGAGTTTTCAGAGATTCAAAAGTCAATCGTACTTGAAAAACTTATTAACTCAAGTGGGGGTCTATCTCCCTATATGCCTAAAAATAAAATAAAAAGGCGCACCGGACGCCATCCTCCATTCCAATCATTCTCTTCTTCCGACTCCTTGACACTGGCTCTGGATCGGACAGAGTATATAGAAGCTGAACAAATATTGCTTTTTTTTGTTGAATCTCAAAAGTTTTCGATTTCAAAGTTCAAGAAAAAAGGTCCCGTGTGGACAGACAAAACAAATCTCCAACAGATGATGATGATGATTGAGAAAAAAGAGAAAAGTAAACGAGACAGAAAATTGAATGGAAGAGGGGAAGAATGGGGGAGGAGAGGGGGGAAAACAAAAACAGATGTGTTTTGTTTCTATTGATGTTTCTTCGAAATGACATTTTTAAGAGAAAGAGTACAACCTATAAAATAGTTTGTACTACAAATTTTGGCCAGTTTTTTTTAGGAAAGAAACCGAAACTAACAGATTTTTTTGAGCAGATTTCGGTGCTTGCACATCAAAAATGGCTCAATTTTCTAATTGGTTCAGAATTTTATTAGGTTTGCACATCGGTCTCAATTGAAAATTCAGAGAAAGGTTTAGGTGTTGTAGGGCGAAGTTAGACGTTCCGCGACCTTATACCAGTTGTGAAACGTCAGGTTTCCAAATGGATCGCAAAGCTGCGAAAGGTCTAGTGTTGTCGCAAAGCAACGTTAACCGCATTTTTCAATCTTCCCAATGGCGCATCGGGAAAATTTCTCAGTTGTATTGCCTTTTAAAAGTAGGGCAAATACTCAACTGCTATGTTGTAACTGCTAGTGTCTCAACTGCTATATTTGGCTCTTCTGCTATGGATCAACTGCTATTTTCGCCACTTTTGTTGTCCCAACTGCTATCGCTATTGTTTCAACTGAAAATGTTAAAAATAGCAGTCGATCCATAGCGGAAGAGCCAAATATAGCAGTTGAGAAATTAGCAGTTACAACATAGCAGTTGATAAATAGCAGTAGATTGCATAGAAGTCGAAAATCCCATAGAAAATGCTGCAATATTGATTTTGAAAAAATGTTTGGTCTACAACGTCTGGTTTCACAGTGATCAATACGAAAACGACAGGATAGGAAGCAACGTTATCAAGTTTTCGAGGTGTCCAAAGGTTTGATTGATAGTATGGAGTTAAGACGTTTTCACAATATCCGATACCCAATTTGCAGAATGTTTGGGTTCCCATCAACAAGGATAGTTCAAACACTTTCTGACGTGACAGTGTCAGTTAGAGCTATTAGCAAATTGCATATTCAGTTCTCAGTTTCAGAGCAAAATCTACCAGAATTTTAGGGTTCAGGGACTCTGTTCGTCGCACAATTCAAGCTTGCGAATTTGGTCGGACTTTCAAGTCTTGTCCCCCGAAATAAACGTAGTTTTTGATCCCTTTGTATCTTCTGTGATTCAATTTTCAAACGTTTGAAATTTTATTAGAACACTGACTTCTGACTTTTTCCCAAATACAGAAGATTTTAGAAAACATTGAGTGACCAGACCGCCACCCCAGGAACCCATTTTTCCATACCTGTTCCTCCGGACTTCCGTCATCTTTTGAAAATATATAGTTTGAATTTAGTTTCAGTATAAAATATGAAAAGTGTCCCAAACGGAATGTCAGAACGTCTATAAATCTTTGAAAAGCAGAAAAAAGTCGGTCGGGGAAGGACCTCCCTGAGGACCTGACACACAGGAATTCTTCAAAGTTCAAAAACATTGGAGAGGGAGACAACACGTGCAGGGGTCTTTGAGCTGTGATCTGATCACTGCTGACCGACTGTTCATGGAACAATTGTTTGTTGTCTGAAGAGAGAGATATGAAACAAGGAGCCAGTGATAGTGGTGGTTTTTCAGTTTTTTTTAAGGGAAATTAGTGAAGCGGGAAATGGGAGGGGTTCAGATAAAATTGGGAAATAGAGAAGGGGGGTGAGCAAGAGAAGTAAAAGAAATCCAAAATTTTTTGAACGAATAAGACTTTTTGAACGAAAAAGGTTTTTTTCTAGATCACTGATGGTAGATACCACTGTTAAGTGTGAACACGCGGCAGGTCTGTCACCAAAGGCATGCGATCGAAAAAATACGCAGTTCATGTTCCGATCTGAAGATTTCATGTTCAGGAAATTATCGGCAAGTTGCCGATTGCTTGCTAAATGCTTGCGGTAAGCAAAAGGCAAGTTGCTCAGCGCTCGGCAAGGAAACATCATGTTCATGTTGCGGCA